TATATATATATATATATATATATATAGTTAGAATTAATGTCTAGACAGCTATGGCTATGTTTGTAAACTTTGTTTTAGTGGTTTCTTTGCTCCTTTTGTCATTCTGGGAAATGTACACTTTTCATTGCTTAATATAACATATTCTTGCTTTTGTTTACCTCCATTTGAGTTCAGAAACTAAAATAGTCATGTCCTGCCTCTTTGGTTTTAGAATGCCAAATTGGTTGCAATACTTTGAATTTTCTGTATGACCTGCACAACTGATAGTTTTTGAAGTTGTACAGGATGTGTTGGAGGTCAATGAACTTAAGATTTATTAGGTTGTGAAGCTTTTAGATGTGCAGAGTTTAAGAGTTTCCACTCACAATATCTTCAAAATATGGATCAGGAACTTGCAGTTATTAGTCCACATTCCACAAACACTTGTTTTTCTGAACAGACACAACATACTCTTTCATGTACTTTAAAAATTTTGGGTTGCTTTCCTCATAGTTTTTCTTTGAAGCAAGTGTTCCTTATTCAAAATGGAATGCAACAGACTTTCTTTTATATATTTCTTAGAAGTCTGCCACAAACACAAAACTAATATTTACATTTCGTACTTTTCCCGCTCTTTTATAATGTACTTGTCCCAACATATACAACATTTAAAAAAATGAATCATAAAAAGATTATGCAAGTCAAATAGATTCTATAGAGTTAGATGTATGAAAATTATAAGCCAGTAAAAAAAAATTCTTTAAATAAATTAAGACAATAAAACAAAAAATAAACATGTAGCAAGAGCAGAGCAATGGTATTCTGATGATCAAGAACTGCAAACAATCTCTTAATGTTTAAGTACAACATCCACTGCATCTACCATATTTAAAGGCCAACAACCATGTTAGAAAAATAAAACTGTTAGCTAAAGATAACTCGTACTGTACCAAAAATTTTCGTTCCCTTGTACCACCAATCTCTCTATTAGGTATGGGAAAACAACAACTATGCATCTTTACTGTCAGTATCAATCCCTTTAGCAATCTTAGACATCTCAAGCAGATCTCCTCTAACTTTTTTCATAAGAGAAAATTTCATGAGATCTTAGCCTATCCATCCCAGGCATCATTGTAGTAGCTCTCCTCTGAACCCTTTTCAAAAATTCAACATACTTTCTATGGTAAGGTGTCTAGGAAAGAACAAATGTGGCCTAATCAATGACGTATACAATGACATAACCCCTTTAAACTTGTATTGATTACCTCTGTAAATAGTCTAAAATCCTATTTCCCTTACCATTAGCAACAGCAAACACTTTGGATGGTTTATATACTGATAACTGGATCATTAAAATCCCTTTTCTTCACTCTTTAGGTTATTCCCATTGAAATTATTATATTTATTTATAAGACTTACCAAATAATCAAAATCTAAACTTAATTACTTAAATACCCAAAATGTTAAACCTTATAATTTAATACTTATCACGAGTTCAAAGTTCTATTACATTCCTTTGTATTAATTGCATCTACCACATCCAAAGGTCAACCACCCTATTACGAATGTAACACGGTTTTAACTGAAATTGAAAACATCTTCCCTGCCAAAATGTGCGTGTCATACAAATTTACTAAATTACACGTACATACTACAGTGCCTATATTTTTATTTCATACAATTTGTAGGTAGTTAATACAACGAAAATTAGGTCCTTTTATATTTAACTTCACTGTGATTCTTTGTATAAAACTGTTGTAAATATAAAATAGGCTAAGCTTGCCCCTACTATTACTAAGCCTAAACTAAAGTCCAACTACATTGAAAAGTAAAAACTTACCTACTTCATGTATGTTACTGTCAGGTCCCAAAGTTTAATTAGGCCATAGTTCATGTAAGCCCATAAAATTATGAAGTATGATAAACTATGTCACAATTCCCCTAAAATTAGTATAAAATGTGGTATGCCCATACATTTACTGTGTATAGCTTAAGTTCGAAACAGTTGTTAGAAAACACAGAAAATATTTTGTAAGTAATTGCCTAGCAACAACTTCTTAGATTGTCATATATAAATTTCTCCTTATGAAATCCAAATTAGTTGATGCTTGGTAATATACTATACCCCTACATTCGCGAAACTCACTATATCTTCGTTACCTTCTACACTAAACAATCCCCTTTAAAATTTACCTTGAAGATCTTTTATACTAAACTCAAGCCCTCTATCGTCAAGTTTCTGGATACTTATTGGTCAACGCGACTCCAAAGGATAAAGCATATAAGGAACTACACTAATTGGTCTACCTATACACTGGATTGCCTAACGCTGCTGACATGTAAGCACGTAGAAGCAGCTTGATACAAAACTATGCCTGTTGAGATTTGGGAAGAAAATAAATAAACATGTTTGTCTGTTCATTTATGTATTTATTTAAACACATACATAAATATTCATAATATAAAAAAGCCTTAACAAAAATACATCGCTGCACCATCAAAACAAAGTCACCAAGATACAGGCTTTAATGTGGGATATAAGATTTGTTTTGGTTTTTGGAGGTGACTGTGGATGTGGAACTCACATAGTGGTGGGGATACATTGTCTATCAGTTTTAATCTCAATTCGCAGAGCCTCTCATGTAAGGAAAGAATGCATACAAACAATTGTGGGAGGCAATGCTCCAAAAAATAACAATAATTGAGGGTGGTGAATAAGAAAGCCTTCCCTCCTGAAGTTGGCATTCCAATAAACATATTGTTACGTCTCCATTTGTTAATTGATTTTCTGTAACTTCGTTCTGACGAAACTTAAGCGACACAAGTCCTTTCTTAATAAAACTGGTTTATTTTTTCCGAATATAACTTTACCGATACACTCAATGTCAACAATCGC